TTCCTTATTTCTTGTAATGACATGTCAATGACAAATCATGCAATTATCTTAGGTGGACAATGCCAAATTGCCAAGTCAAATTTAATTATCATTTTTAATTCTTTTCAATTCTTTAAATATAAAATTACTAAAATACCCTTAATTTATTCTTCTTGCCATCATTCTCCTTTGCCTTTTCTCTCTCTATTCTCCTCACCACCACTATTGTTCCCAACCATCATTCCTCACTCTTCATCACTATTTCTTTTCTCCCCCATCCTCCTTGCAAAGACGATCTGGGTTCGTGAGGAACCCAAACAATTTGGGTTTGTGAGGAACCTAAACAATCTGGGTTCATCGCAAACCTAGTTTTGGGTTCATGAGGAACCCAAGGAGGGTTCTTATGAACACATCAAAGGGTTCTTGTTGAACCCAAAAATGGAGTTTTTCTTTTTTTTTTTCAAATCTAGTATCTATTTTTTCTTGGAACATAATGCCTTAGCTTTCAATAAAATGCTCAAGACAAATCAAAAGAGATTAAGATGGGTGGAAAGCGAAGAATTAAAATCCAAAAGTGAGTTTTATCTCTTGAACCAAATTACTCTTATGCTCGTTTTGCTTCACATTTGGTAGTTTTAGTTTAAATTGTAGTTGGTGAGACTAAAATTGCTCAAAAAGCTAGAACTTACACATCTCTATTTTCCTTAGCACTTTTTTTTTTTTCCTTAGATGTGTTGTAGCACTAGATTATCAAATTTATTGTTGTTTTTGTTAGCAATGTGAGATGAGAAATCTCTTTTTCGAAGAGAGAAGGAGAAGGAGGGCTTAGATGATTGGGAAAGGAAAAGGGAGGAAGTGACTGGCTAGAGAAAGAATAGGGAGGGGGAGATAGACAATGGTAGAGGAAAAGGGAAGATGAATAGTGAGAGAGAAGGAAACTACGAAGAGGATGAAAGTGGGGGTAGAATTGTATTTTTCTCTTTTAATTTGTAAATTATTCAATGTTGTGGAATTTGACTTGGCATTTTCATGTCCACATAAGCTAATTATATGATGTGTTAATACATGTCATAAAAAATGTGCCATTTTGGAATATTTTAACAACTAAGTGTGATTTAACGGATACAGGGATCAAAATTGTGCAATTTTTGGAGTTGATGGATCAAAAAGTGCCAAAAGTAGTTGAGGGACAAAAATTGTGCAACACTATAAAGTTGAGGGATCAAAATTAAAATTTAATCAAATTTTTATGTTAGTTTTGAATTTTTAACTTAAGCATAATCACATGTTAAAGCATTATTTTAGCCCTACGTAAGCAGATGACGCGTCCATGTAGGAGTCTTAAGGAAGGTGCATTACATGTGTATATATTTATATATATATATATGAGGCAACCATCCACGTATAAATCTTCACTTTTAATAGTTAAGTATTATCATAGCTTTTTAGGTAAAAAAATATAATTATTTTTAATAAATATAAATAAATCTCAACTATTAAAAATAAAAAGATGAATGGTTAAGATTTTTTTTAAGTGTGATGTATAAATCTTGTGTATAAGTGGATCCATACTATATATATAAATACTAATAATGTTATTCCCGCAACTCTGCTCACAAAATTGAAAATGAAGAATATTTCATGATCAGATCTAGACAGATACAAACCTAACATTAATTACGATAACAAAGTACAGTAATTAATTTGCTAAAAGAGGATTCCAGAACATTAGACCATGAAGGGATTCGGCTAACAGGTAAAGATTAGGCTAACATTAAGCACTTACTAACTCCTAAAACATTATTCGTGGTACCTTATCCAAAAAAAAAAAAAAAACATTATTCGTGGTACATATATGATGATGGCCGGGGCAAATTTGTTCCAAACTAAACGTTGTCTCCAGAGCAGTTCAAGGTCCAAAAGCAAATCAACCATGACGTGGAGGTGGATTTATATGTGGACTCGAACTTTGACCGGGAGGATCCGCTTAAGAACTGCGTACAGATTCGAGGACTTGTTTGGTTAGTGGTACTAACTATTTCTTATTCAAACTGTAAAAACAAATTAAAATTGAAAAACTTTCATAGTATATTCAAACTATAAAAACAAATTAAAATTAAAAGGCTTTCATAGTAAATTAGAAATAACTAATTCTTAATATATAATTTTCTTTTATATTAACAAAGAATCAAAGCAGTATCTATTTCTTGAAAAATGTAAGAAATAGATACTCCTTATTCATCCCTTAATTTAATAAAAAATTATTACATTATCAACATAAAAACTTAGACTCTGTTTGGTATAATTTTAGTTTTGGGTTTTGAATTTTTTTTTTTACATATTTAATAACCATTACTTTATTTAAAAATTAAAATGTATTATAAAATTTTAAATTTATTAAATTTAATTTAAATATAATACTAATGATTAAATATATAAAAATAAAAACTGAAAACCAAAAACTAACATAATACTAAACAGAATCTTAATTATTTCTAATTTCTTAAAAAAGCCTCTTAAAATTTAATTTATTTTTACAATTTGACTAAAGAATACCTATTACCACCGACCAAATATCACCTTAATTAAAGGTTCTGCTGAAACTGATGAGGAGCTGGATTTAACTGTGGACTTAAAACTAGACCGGGAGGATCTCCCTTCATACTGCGGCGGCGCACGATACTTTGGTTATAGTGGATTATAGTTTCTGGCAATATTGATTGTTGCCCAAACACAGACAAAAAATAATAATAACAATTAATAATAAATATTGTGAAACCAACTAACCAAGCATGACTGGATGAAACAGATTGTATGAAACAATTTACTTTCAAAGTTAGGTTTCGCACCTTGGATAGCAGAGAACTGGGTAACCCTAGCTTCTGCTAAGAGACTCCATGAACAAATGGATGATAAAGCAAGTAAAGCCAAAAGCAGGGCGACAGCACTCTTGGAGATCTTGTCCATTCTTTTCCTACGTCGAGAGGATTTTGTCTGTATCTCTGCTTCGTGCTAAAGATGACGAATATTTATCTCCTAAAGGGTCTTAAAGCGATTCATTTTTTCTATACGTGTGCCGGGCGTCGTAACGTTTGGTTACTGGAAAGTCCACTGGAAAATTTTGCTGGGTAAAGTGATCGGCAAGTTACTTGAAAAAGCCGTCTGAAGTTGACTGAGGGCTGTTTGGTTTAACTCGTCAGAATTTTTATTTTATGAGTACGGTTTATGAATAATAAATTTAAATTTTTATTAAAAAAATTTAAAAATTACTTTTAAAATAAAATAAAAATAAGTAAAAAATGAGTTTATGAAAAATTTAAATTTAAATTTTTTAAATTTTTATTGTTTTAGGTCTTTTTAAAATAAAAAAAATTAAAAATATATATTTAAAAAAAAATTTAAATTTATAAAATAAAAATAGCATCAAAAGATTAATGTTATAAGAAGCTAATAAACATTACCTAAGATTCCAGCGTTAGTATTAGTATACCAGAGGAGGGAATTAATAATTACCAAACATAATTAATTAATAATTAAAGGAGGGAATTCCCAAACTGAGGTCGTAGTACTTTGCGTGCTGAATCGTTCGTGAACTTACACCGAAACCCTATGTAGTTTTCCGTTGACTGATATTACATAATTGAGGTTTACAATCAGAAAACGTCAAAGTTGTAAAAGAAAAAAAATATCAGACCTACATTTGAGTCTTAGTAGTTCCCCTCGAGCTTTTAGGTACTTAAATTTGTTGATTGAAGTTTTAAATTCTATCCACGCCTTGAAAATCACTTTGTTTTTTTGTTTTTTAAATTGTACACTGTTTTAAAAAAAGTTGTAAAAAAAAAAAAAAATCAAAAACCACATTTAGTCCCAAACCTTTCACATAAATATTAGATTTTTCATTTTACTTTTTATTTGAATCAAAATTGGTCCCCAACTTTTTTCAAATTACCAAACCTAATACTGTTGGCTACTTTGGTTAGATTACTAACAAAAATTCCAATTAGAATTTTGGGAATGATAGTGATATTGATACCTTTTAGTTTAATACATTTCACAATATACTCATAAAAAATTATTATTCTTTGATTTAAAATTAAAGACAAAATGTAACCATATATATAGTATAGAGGAATCAGTTCAACTGATTGCACCTATCGAAGCAAAAATTTCATATTAATATGTATATAAAAATTTAGCTAATCATAGTTGTATTAAATAAATAAACTCCTAATAATTATATTTTAATCTTTATGAACTAGGCACATTGGCTTGAAAAAAAGTCTATTTTTGTATCTATATAATTTCTTTTAATAGTCACTTTAGTTTATGTTCAAATATATTGACAATTTTAACTACTTACATTATTAAATATAACTTATATATTGCAATTCTAGCCAATTCATATTAACTACTAAATACATTCTTAAATATGATTTGGTTACATGATGAGATGCATTTTATACACTTTAATTTCTTATTTTAGCCTTCATTTTATTAATATTT